ACGAAGCGGATATCGTCCTCTTTTGGAAGACCAAACAAAGTAGTTTCGCTTTCACAACGAAAAACACAGCGGCCTAGCGTGAGCGAAAGCCCCGGCTTAGCGTGAGCTGAAGCCGGGCAAGAGTGAGCTGAGGCGGCGGGGTCGAAGGGTGTACTTTGAAACAGTTTTCACCAATAATTACAGAGAAATTAATTGAATTAAACGCGGAACACCAAAAATAATTTTTACAGAATAGTTAAAATGTATAAATGTGAATCTATTCACCGGGTGAAGTTTAGTCTATAAATGACCAGCATGATTGCTGTTAAACCTGTTATGCAATCTGCTGCATGCCTTCTGTCGTCTGATTGATAGTTTAGAGTTTTTAGCAAGTAAAAGGTCTTCAGCTGGAGCTTCTCGTGTCAAATCTTAAAATAAAATGTTTTATCTAAAAAAATTAGATTTTTTTTTTTGACAATTATGTGATATGTCAGGCTTTATATAGGGTTAAACACCAATAATAATATATATTCAAAACAAATAGATTTTTTGAATTTGATTTCATGTCAGCCTTTATTGGATTAAGCATCACTAATAATTAAAATAAAATTAAAATAATTAAAAAGATAATAACGATAATGTTTTATTCTAAAGATGATTTTGTTTTTAAACATCATACTAAAAAAATTTGTTTTGTTCCATTTAACTTTGAGAGAAAGCAAGAATAAAAAATCAGCAGACTTTAATGGATTTCATGAGAAATCACGATCCCTGTGCTGCGTCTAGGATTTCACTCCACGCTCGCCGTCGGTGCGATCTGATGTTTGGAGACTTCTGCGGCATGTTCAGTCTAAGCGTCTGGAAAGTTAGTCCTCCGTCTCCGGCAGCTGCTCTCGCTCTGTGCTGAGAATCAAATGGATAAAATATTATCTTAAAAGCGACTGCTAATCGATAATGTGATATTTCAAAATCCAGAGCATTTTTGCAGTGGAATATATTGAACATGTAATGGAAAGTGCAGGACGCTCCGGCTGAGTTATGTGAAGGTCTCTCTGCGTAATGAGCCGTTCTTTTGAGGAGCGTTTGTTTCCAGAAGCTTTACTTTCACTGTTCCTCAGCGGAGGAATGATCTTCACAAGCCTCCAGAACATCTCACATCTTCTGAGGAGCCTTTATTTCTTCAGCTCTCAATCACTGCATTATATGTTCGGATCATTTCAGTCTCATCTCACTGAGACAGATTATCTGAGGTATAGAGTGACGACTGATATTTATATCATTTTATGTAAGTATCTGCTGTACTGTTATAAAGATCTCATTGACTCACATTACAAGCAGCAGAATATCATCTTAGCTTTTGGCGATATAAATATCAGCATCTGCAGCAAATTGCTTATGTTTGCTAAGTTTCGGTCTCTGAATCAAATCGAGCTTTTCCTCCATATTCTCATTATATCAGACTATATATACAGTATATATACTGTATATATGATTAAAGCCTGACACTTAATGACACACCTGACTAACACACTAAATATGGTAGTTCCTTTTTTTTTTTTTT